GGAGGGGGTGGTCAACTGTGTCAAAGGCAGCGGAGAGGTCCAAGAGCAAGAGTACGGAATAGTGACCATTGGTTTTAGAAGTTAGTAAGTCATTTGTGAGGTTTAGGAGAGCAGTTTCTGTGGTGCGTTGTAGGCGAAATCCAGCCTGAAGGGGATCGAGAAGGTTATTTTCAATAAGGTGGCAGCTCAGCCAGTTATAGACTAGACGTTCAAGGAGTTTGGAGGCAAAAGGGAGTAAGGAGATGGGTCTTAGGTTGCCAAGATCTGATGTGGTACATTAAGGAGACTCTGGCTAGCTCTCCAACAAAGACTGTGCTGCAGAGAAGACTTGTAAATAGCTCCAGGAAGTTGTCCTCAGCTCATCAGTTCCCTTGGGCATCCTGTACACCCCTAACCCTATCCCAGTTCAAATACTCTAAATAAAACAACAAACCAAAGCTTAAGAACTGATTTCTAACTCTGGATGCAAGCCTGTGTGAAGATGCATGTTGCTTGGCTGTGCAGGACTATAGGGGGACCCAAACCTTCTGACAACTCCTAAGAGGGTGGTGCTACACTTATTTATAGTCTTTTATATTTAAAATGTCAACAAGTATGGGGCCTAGCTCATGATATTAAGGATGAACTAAACTAAACTTAAAGTTTAACTAAAGGCATTTTTTTTAATCGCTGTTGTTGCCTGACTAATTTCAATACTTTTAGATGCTGACCTGGAACAAGAATGCAGATCAGGAAAGCTAGTCTGATATCAGAACTCCTAATCTGCAAACATGTTCCAGTCAGGGACTTGGAAAGTACCAAAGCTTTTTAAATTGCATGAAGGCCAAGGAAATAGCCAAGTCAGGAAGTCAGGAATGGCAGCCCAAATGCCACCTACTTTAGGCACTGGTCTTTTCTTATTCACTGTTCAACAAATTTTTATTTTTTGACAGTTTTGGAAACAAAAGGATCCATTTCTTAATGAATTTCACATTCTGAGTTTAAATATAACAATGAAATTTGTCAATTGGCTCTAGTTTTTCTGTAAACGGAAAGTTTTCTACTATAGGCGTAATGACTACATAATGCACAATAATTATATAGATAGATGTCTTTCCACAAATATAAAGCAAGTGATATTGACTACATAACAAAGCCTAAATGGCATAATATATTGCATAGGATTACCAAGAAAAATTATAGCCATAAGCTAAGTTGAATCATTTTAATACTTAGGATTCTCACTAGTTTTGTCTTCAGTTTGTGTCGGTTTTGCTTCTCTTGGCTTTTCTCTTGTATTCGAGGAAAGGGCTATCTCTTACAACTGCACGTGACTACACGCTTTAGGTTCTTCCTCACTTAACTCAACCACGAAGGATTCTGGTGCTTTAGGAATTGGTAGCCCCTCTCCATGAGGAACTGGACGTATTGCCGATGGAATATTTGGATACTGCACAGATAACTTTTTCTTCTTATTTAGCCCTTTTACAATTGGAGGCACCATACAAAAGTAACAATTACTAACATGATCTGTTGGCTCTCTCCAAATCATTGGCACAGCGAAAGGCATAGATGCCTTTTTTCCATTCAACCATTGCTCCAGTGCCGTCCCACAAGAATTGCAGCATATATGTGGTGCCCAGCTCTTGTCCTGGTCTCCTATCTTGCAGCCAAAATACAAGTTGTAGGCTTTCTTAACCATTCCTGTTATCCTCCTTTTTTGTGAGATAAAAGTTATTTCACCGCAGATATAGCAGAAATTATCTGCTTTATTCACACAAGTTCGAGGCATTACTGAGTAGCCTATATAAGCATAAAAGGAAATGTAAAGACGCTGTCGAACTACAATCAGCTACAGATACTGCAGCTTTTATGCAGTGAAGTGATGCAATTAAAGGCTAATATTGCATCATCTCAGTATACATGCAATTTTCTATTGGTCACCAGTATCAATTGCGCAATATGCAGCTGAAGTTGCATCATAATTTTGAATGGCTTACGTCATTAGATGGGTGAATATATCATGGAAACTAGAGCCAATCAACATTTTTTAGGGTCATTTTCGTTTTCAGCACCCCAAAAATATGTAAGATTAGCTAATTTTATGCCCAAAACTTTTTACCTGTTGAACAGTGTTATATATAAAGACAGTGCAGCACTTATTACAAATAAAACTGTGCAAGTTGTAACCAGTGTTCATTTGTCCTATATTCTCCCACTTGTCAAAAATAAACATCTTTTTGTAACTGTCTTTTTTTGAGTCTCTTCTTGTGCACTCCAGAAAAAGTCAAGATGTGCGCTCACCTGCTTCCCATGACCCTACATTCAAGTATGCTCAAATTGTGCCTTTTTTCTCCAGTTAATCACAAGACCCAACAAATCGGTCAATCCAATTGCATGGTGTATTGTGTGCAATCTTTAGTGTACTTTCTTCCACTCAGTAGTGCATAGTGCATGAAAAGAAAGGAATCCAGATTGTTAACATAAAGGATTGTTGAATATAGTAATAAGGTGAGAAGACATGATGGATGGGGTATGGACATACGGTAAGTGTAAATCCCAAAATGCACGATATATAGGCATGTGTTTGTGAATACTAGTGCTCAGGGGTGGACTGACAACTCATGGGGCCCCCCGGGCAATAGGGGATCATGGGGCCCCTGTGTTCTTGCCCAAACTCAAAAAAGCCTATGAAAAAAGGTACCAGGGGCATCTCATGAGGCCCCCTACTGACCCCGGGCCCTCATGCAGTGCCCAAGTTTCCAAATGGTCAGTCCGCCCCTGGTCCAGATACACCTTTATTCTGATAAAAGTCAGAGGGACAATTCAAAAAGTAGCCAAAAGTTTGAAAGTCCAAGACTACTTCCTTCAGCAGGGCTTGATTGAAAACAATGTGAATAAACTAGAAGGATGAAATAAACTAGAGGATCTCCATGGTCACCTTGGCTAGTAGTGTAAGCCAACAAAAAATGAAAATGAAGAACCGCACCACTGCTAAGAAGTCCAGATCAGGGGCGGACTGACAACTCATGGGGTCCCCAGGCAATAGGGGATCATTGGGCCCCTGTGTCCTTTCCCAAACTCAAAAAAGCCTATGAAAAAGGTACCAGGGGCATCTCATGGGGCCCCCTACTGACCCCGGGCCCTCGGGCAGTGCCCGAGTTTTCAAATCGTCAGTCCGCCTCTGATAGTGCTTACAAATCTAATTGCTTGCATGGTATTAAGGAAAAGATACTATGTATTTTTCTATCTATGTGGACTGAGTGGAAGAGGATTTAAAGGGGCAGTATTGTGAACATTGAATGACACAAATTCAAGATGATTCAAGAAATCTGTGGAGAATATCAAGAATGTATTTGGAGCTAAACTATAAAGTGACCAGGTAAGGGACATCTGGTGAAGGTGCCACATACTGCATGATCAGGTTATAAATTCACATAATTCAAGGCACAGTTTGGTAAATAGGAAATGTAAGTAGTATTACTTGTTATAAGGGTTGCCACCTCATTCCTTTAAAACGGATTAGGGTGGTAATTAAACTCACTTAGTGCTTTATCTGCATTAACCACTTGCCCTCCAGAGCATTTACCCCCCTTCCTGACCAGGCCATTTTTTGCATTACAGTGCTACGTTACTTTAACTGACAACTGCGCGGCCAAGCAACGCTGCACCCAAATGAAATTTACACCCATTTTTTCCCACGAATTGAGCGCTCTTTTGGTGGTATTTGATCGCCTATGTGTTTTGAATTTTTGCGCTATAAACAAAAAAAAAAAAGACCGACAATTTTGAGTATAAAAATATATTTTTGACTTTTTGCTATTAAACATGTCCAGTAAAAATATTTTAAAAATCAAATTTCGTCATAAATTTAGGCCAAAATGTATTCTGCTACATGTCTTTGCTAAGAAAAAAATTCCAATACGTGTAAATTAATTGGTTTACATGAAAGTTATAGCATTTACAAATGGTGGTATAGATACTGGAATTTTTTTTTTTATACTATATTATTATACAGTATTTTAACGGTTTGCTCAGCGCATTACATTATAGTGGGAGACAATACAGTAACAATACAGTTCAATACAAGAGGGAATTGAGGGCCTTGCTCCTTGGAGTTTACAATCTAGGAGGGAGGGGTGAGTGGTACAATAGGTAAAAACTCTGAGGGATGGAGTGGTTGGAAGAGTAGAGGATTCCAGTATTAGCTGAGGGGGGCGGGATAGGCTTCCCTGAACAGATAGGTTTTCAATGATCGCCTAAAGGTAAGTAGAGTAGGTGATAGTCTGATAGATTGGGGTAGGGTGTTCCATAGGATGGGTGATGCCCTGAAGAAGTCTTGGAGACAAGCATGGGAGGAGTTAAGGGAGCTAGAGAGTAGGAGGTCTTGTGAGGAGCGGACTGTACGGTTTGGGTGATATTTAGAGATAATATCGGATATGTAAATTGGGGCAGTGTTGTGGATGGCTTTGTATGTCATAATTAGTGTTTTGAATTTTATCCGTTGGGCAACTGGGAGGCAGTGGAGGGATTGGCAGAGAGGGGTGGCAGATACAGAACGGTTAGTGAGGTGGATGTGTCTGGCAGCAGCGTTCATGATAGACTGAAGAGGGGATAGCCTGCGATGAGGTAGGCCAATGAGGAGAGAGTTACAATAGTCGAGGCGTGATAAGACAAGGGGGTGAATAAGTTGCTTAGTGGTTTCCGGGGTAAGGAACGGTCGTATCTTGGAGATGTTGCGGAGGTGAAGTCTACATGATTTTGTCAGCGATTGGTCTTGGGGCTGGAAGGACAGATGGGAGTCTAGGATTACACCTAGTACCCTGGCATGAGGGGAGGGACTGATGGTTGTGTTATCGATATTTATGGTAAAGTCAGTGGAGGTGGCACGGGCAGGGGGGAAATACTAGGGACTTAGTTTTGGAAAGGCTGAGTTTGAGGATGTGGAGTGACATCCAAGCCGAAATGTCACTTAGTAGGCTAGCGATGTATTTTTACTAGTAATGTCAGCCATCAGCGACTTATAGCAGGACTGCGGCATGAATTCTAACACTGGGGGGAACTGACTTGGTGTCACTGACATCCCCAGTGACACCAATACAGTGATCGGTGCTAAAAAAAAGCACTGACAGTGTACTAAGGGCAGTGGGCAGGAAGGGGTTAACATGAGGGACGATCAAAGGGTTAACTGTGTGCTGTTTTACTTGTGTCTGTGTGCTTCACTGTAATCACACTGCTTTGCATGGCTTTGCTGTGCACAGCCATGCAAAGCAGTGTGCACGAGCTGACAGGGAGAACTGTATTGTTTACATACAGGTCTCCTCCCCGTCAGAGATGCTAGGTAATCACCGTGCGCTTGCGAGTAATCACCGGCTGGGACCCAGTGATTGACAGCCGCGCACCTCCTACCCAGAAATGCAAAATCACACATATATATTATATATACACATGATTTTGCGCGCCTGTGCAGCCCTGTAGCAGTAAATCTGCTATAGGGCTGTCGGGAAGCGGATAAATTAGCCTCAGAACCTGTGTAAATAATATGTGTTTGTTTTTAAAGGGATGAGGTGGCAACCCTACTTGTTATAGATAATATATTAATTGAAGGATAAGGACCTATATGGTTTAATTTTTTTACATACACTACTGAGTGATAGAAAAGTACATTGAAGATTACACACAATACATCATGCAATCAGATCGATTAAATCGTCTGGTCTTGTGAAGAACTGGGGAAAAAAAGGCTAGCTTTGACCATACTTAAATGTAAGGCCATTGGAAGCAAGTGTGAGCACATCTTAACTTTTCTCTGGAGTGCACAACAAGAGACACAAAAAAAGACACAGCTACAAAAATACGTTTATTTTTGACACAAGTAGGAGAATATAGGACAATCGGACATTGATTACAACTTACACAGTTTTATTTGTAATAAGCGCTGCACTGCTTTTATTTGTATGGTATTGGAGACCACATGAGACCAAAATTTAACTTTTTGGTCTAAAAGCAAAACGCTATGTGTGGCAGAAAACTAACACTGCACATCACCCTGAACACCCCATCCCCACCGTAAAATATGGTGGTGGCAGAATCATGTTGTGGGGATGGTTTTGTTCAGCAGGGACAGGGAAGCTGGTCAGAGGAAATCTTAGAAGAAATCCTGTTAGAGTCTGCAAAAGACTTGAGACTTGGGATGAGGTTCACCTTCCAGCAGGACAACGACCCTGAACATACAGCCAGTGCTACAATGAAATGGTTTGGATAAAAGCATATTCATGTGTTAGAATGGCCCAGTCAAAGTCCAGACCTAAATCCAATTGAGAATCTGTGGCAAGACTTGAAAATTGCTGTTCACAGATGATCTTCATCCAATCTGGCAGAGCTTGAGCTATTTGGCAAAGAAGAATGGGCAAATATTTCACTCTCTAGAGGTGAAAAGCTAGTACAGACATCCCCAAAACGACTTGCAGCTGAAATTGCAGCTAAAGGTGGTTCTACAAAGTGTTGACAGGGGGGGCTGAATACAAACGTAGGCCACAGTTTTCAGATGTTTGAAAAAAAATTTGAAAGCCATTTATCATTTTCCTCCCTCTTCACAATTATGTGCCACTTTGTGTTGGTCTATCACATAAAATCCCAATAAAATACATTTTTGGTGGTAACATGACAAAATATGGAAAATTTCGAGGGGTATGAATACTTTCTCAAGGCACTGTATATAAATAAAATACTCCACATTTTTTTTGTTACCCATGTCCACTCATCCTCAGCATTAGAAAGCTGAGTGTGTCTAGAAAAAAACTCAGCTCTGCTGATGCTAGGAGAGCATTACCTGCCCAGTTCTCCTAAATGTGTACTGCCATGCAGCATCATTTACTGGAGTCCAGGACACTGGTCACTGGAACGCTATACAGTTGCTGTTCAATTCCAAGGAAAGTAAGTTAACATTGCTTGTCCATGTTTTGAAAAGATTCTCCAGATTTATAATTAGACTAATGACTGCCTTTATTGCGTGTAGGATTCAATTTATTGAAAGATCGCATTTTGACATAATTGTCCATATTGTCTGTTGCTTCTGATTGCATCCTGTTAGTGTACATGCTACTTTGCTCAGCTGCAAAGAACCATAAATCAAAACTAAACACGGAATGTAATCATTAAGTAGCAAGATCAACCATAAATATGGCAGAAAATTACCTGATCCCATGTCTGGACATTGGCTGGATTATCATAAATTAAAACATATCCAATGGCAAGCAGGCAGGCACAGATCACCAGGGAAAATATCCGCAGCCATTTTCTCATAAAAGATTCTGTGTATACCAACACATACAAAGCACAGAATATCACCAGAGCTATGAATACTGTGATGATGAAGGCCAGATTTCGAGATGGGTCCTGTGGGAAGAAGACATTGATGTCAGAGAAGGAAGATTAATGCACACTATTATAGCAGTCACAAACTCTGAAATGACAGCATATTCAATATTCTCTGAATGAATTTGCAGGTTTTTTTATTTGTTTGTTTTTTTTACTGTAAACCAGTAACAAACCTGCACTATTCAAAGAGAAGATATGATGAAAAATTTTCAAAATGATCAATAGATAAGATATAAGCAGGTAAAGTTTTGCACAAATCTCCACTATTCCCGAAAAGGCTGAGCTTTGGCCCAAACCCTCTTTCTGATCTTCCCTACTGGTCCTTTAAGGTAATGGAGCCAATGACAAGTAAGAAGGCTTAGAAGGTGACAGGGGCAAGGCCAAGTTCATGTTTAACAGGAAAAGTGGAGATTTGTGTATACCTTCAGCTGTCTATGGTGTCCGTTTATGAACCAGCAGTAATAGATCACTGTTCAGTTCTCCAGCATTCTCGGAGAACACAGTTCTCCTGAGAATGCAGTTTATGAAGCAGTTCTCCGAACGAAGGGAGAACGATCTCCAAACGCTGAAGAACGGTCTACAAACTCTGCAAAACAACTGATTTTACTATAATCTCGCGAGATTACAGTAAAAGATCAGTTTACTAAGCAGAGGTAAATTATCTCTGCTTAGTTTGCAGTCCCTCTGATTCTCCAGCTCTGGGCTGGAGAATCTGGAGGGAGAACACAGATCTCCAGTGAAGGGCTGACATGATCTCCTGAGTGTCAAACTGTGAATGACCAGAGAATAGCTGAGATCCGTTGAATCGCAGCTATTCTCTGTGTCATAAACGGACACCTATATGTCTAACAAAGCCACCATCAGAGCAGTAAAAACAGTACTCCTCTAGGGGGCAGGGTTAAACACCTGTCTGGATGGACCCCGTCACATCTAACCTCACCACAAAATCTGTATCAAGGCTACTTTATCATATCCCTGCATTCATTCCTCTGCAGGACACACAAGCATGACTGAAAGCAAGTACAGGGCCCAGGAGAACTATGTTAAGGCGAGGGGCTGATCTCAGAACTAGACAGTCTTGATGCCATTACTCAAATGTGCTTGTTTTGTACATTTTCCTTCCCTTTAGTGGTGTTAATTTATGCACATGTCTATTTAAAGGTTTGCATATCAATTCTTATGATTTCTTTTTAATTCATTAAGTCTTCTTGTACCCATGTATGCACAATAATGCTCATTATTTACCCTGGTTATTGCTTGTATTACAGCTCTTTTTTCCAATTATGGATGGTACTTAAATCCAAAGAAAAGTGTCCCTTGCGCCCGTGGATGCGATCTTAGTTGAATCTTCTGTCCTCTGCCCCCCCATACCTCTACTTTTAATTTTCTGGTGCGAGTGTTAATAGAAGTGTCTGTCCTAGGCACTCGTAAAGAGTGCCAATTATGCCCACTCTATTTGCTACCACTCCTTTATTCAGAGAAGCTGTACTATAGCTTCCATTGATAAACTGCTGTATGAATGAGTAGGCGGATCTTTCATTCAACTGCCCATCCTCCATTCACAGAGGACTTGTCTTTGATGAACGTGGGCGGGCATTGTCAGCACTCTTAACAGGTGCCTATGACAGGTCCACTGGCTCCTATTAACCCCCTTCACATTAGAGGATTACCACTGTGGGGGGGGGGGGGAGCATGGAATAATTCACCAACACAAGGGACACTTCTCATTCAATTTAAGTACTGTCCCTTGTACTGATTTAAAAATTAACCTTTAAAATGTAATACAGTTTGTATGTATGCAAAACAAACATTGCATTCAGGAAAATATCTGTGTATGTGTTCTTTTCTCACTGTTGCATGTTGTAATGCCACTGCTGTACATTGCAATAGTGGTACTAAGCAATAAATGAACAATGAAAATATGAATTGTGGGGTTCAGAGGCACTAATTTATAGGCTTTTAAGTGTAAGATATCCCAACATTTCATATTTCTGATATGTGTTTGTGCTACGATGCACTTATATTAAAAAGTAACCTATTCTCTTTGTATTACATCATTTGGGTGAAATACCTTATCCCCCTGCTTTCCTGATTTATACTTACCCTGCCAGGGCATAGAAGCACATCCATCCCAGCATGGTCAGTTTTCTTTTTAGCATTCTACTTGGGAGCACAGCCTACTTGTCAGATATCTGCTGACACATACCCCATCACAGTTCTTCACTGAGAAGATCAGTGTTCTGCTGTTTCTCTGCCTCCTTCCCAGCTCCTCAAAGTGTATTTCTATCTAGGCATTTTACACTGGACTGTATCTGTGGTCTCCTTAAGCCCCCCCCCCTTTCTCCATCGACACAATGGGATTTATTTACTAAAGCTGGAGAGTCCAAAATCAGACTCCCTTCTGCATAGAAACCAATCAGCTTCTAACCTCAGCTTGTTCAATGAAGCTTTGGCAATGAAACCTGGAAGCTGATTGGTTTCTATGCAGAAGGGAGTCTGATTTTGGACTCTCCAGCTTTAGTAAATAAACCCCAATGAGTCCTCATACCCACCTTTCTAAGTCCCAGAAAAGTATGATAGTGGCGGTGATCTTTGATCTATTACAAATATTGCTCCCATGAAAACCAATATTTGCAGGTTTGTGATGGGTTTTTTTTCAAAAAATGTTATTTGCTACTGTTTCTATGATATGCATGCAAACATACACAGCAATGCATTTCAGGATTGGCCTAACCAGGTGATCCTGCTTTTATTGAATATAGGGCTCCATAAAACAACATCTGTCAAGTTCCATACAGATGCCTACATGTATAAATGAACAAAGTGCAGCGCTAAATGTTAACTAGCATCATTAGTGCAAAAAAATCAAAAAGAACAATAAAGTGTATATATAATAATAACAATGAAATGATTAAGTGGTATGATACATAAATAAATGTCCATCCAATAATATAACAAAGTGATAAAAAATCTGTAAAAATTAAAATGTAAAAAAATGTCAGTGGCACTACAAGACACAGCAATACCAATGCTGAATATCCATCCAAATACCGGTAAGTGCTATAAAATCCAGTGAGAGAAACCACCACCGCTTATGGCTAGTGGTATGTATCATACCACTTAGTCACTTCATTGTTATTATTATATATACACTTAATTGTTCTTTTTGATTTTTTTGCACTAATGATGCTATTTAACATTTAGCACTGCACTTTGTTCATTTATACGTTTTGTTGGATTTATTGTCACTGTCTTTTGTGCTAGTAGCTTTCTATATCAGCACTTGCCACATATCTGCATTTATAGATGCCTACATGTCACATCTATGCAGGTGTCTTGTTACAGATATCTTTCAGAAATGTACTATTCTGGATTTACTAAAGTATTTTACAGTATTCACTTTTTTATCATTAATTTTGAGGGTTTTTTATTTACCTGCTTGTCCTATCATATGTTTCAAATCATATTTCATACACACAGAAGCAGGTGCTCCCAATCTCTTCAGATTACCTGTTTTACGGTCGTTCCAACTGTCAGTGAAAATTTACTACCTGTAGTCCATAGATTTATATTGTTATGGGGCATTTCAACCACTTGCCCTCCCTTGGATTTACCCCCCTTCCTGACCAGGCCATTTTTTGCATTATGGGGCTGCATTACTTTAACTGACGATTGCGCGGTCATGCAACGCTGCACCCAAATTAAATTTGCATCCTTCTTTTTTCACATGAATAGAGATTTCTTTTGGAGGTATTTGATCGCCTGTGCAGTTTTAATTTTTTGCGCTATACAAAAAAAAGACCGACAATTTTGAGAAGAAAAACATTTTTTGACTTTTTGCTATTAAACATGTCCAGTAAAAATATTTTAAAAATCAAATTTCGTCATAAATTTAGGCCAAAATGTATTCTGCTACATGTCTTTGGTAAAAAAAAAAAAACCCAATACATGTAAATTAATTGGTTTACGTGAAAGTTATAGCCTTTACAAACGGTGGTATAGATACTGGGAATTTTTTTTTTTTTTTTTTTACTAGTAATGGAGGTGATCAGCAACTTATAGCAGGAACGCGGTGGACATTCTGACACTGAGGGAAACTGATTTGGTGTCACTGACATCCCCAGTGACACCAATACAGTGATCAGTGCTAATAAAAAGCACTGACACTGTACTAATAGCACTGGGCAGGAAGGGGTTAACATGAGGGAAGATCAAAGGGTTAACTGTATGCTGTTTCATAGTAAGCTGTGTGTGTGCTTTCAACTGTAAGCACACTGCTTTGTATGGCTCTGCTATGCAGTGTGAAAGAGCTGTTGGGAGAGAACTATTGATTACATGCAGATCTCTCCCCAGTCGGTAACACTCGGCGATCACCGGGTGACGGTGAGTAATCAGGTTAATTACTGATTGACAGCCGAGACCACGAATATCGTCTCTGGTAGGGCACATGCCCCCTAAATGGAAATGCAAAATCATATATATATGTGTTTGTGTGTAATTTTGCGCACCCCTGCCACCCTGTAGCAGTATTTCTGCTATAGGGCGGCAGGAAAGCTGTTGAAATAATGATATAATTAAAATAAGTCAATTACATTGTTTTATTTAAAGTACATCTTATAGCTCCCTTTGTGACAGGCACAGGCCTCAAACATTTAGAAAAGCTACCTTTTTCTCCTTTATTTGTGCCTCATACGCTCCTCCTCCAAGATACTGCCGCTCACAGTAGGAGGGATTCAGTAGCAGAGGCAGTGCTGTCAATCCAGAAAGCAGTGGGAAGTACTACATGTGGCCAGGTGCTACCTGACAAGCTGAAGGCTTGTAGATCAGTGACAAAGCTGACAGCTACAGCTATGCAACCTGCTACAGCTTTTCCCATGGGGTAGTGCAAGCAGATATAGCCTACATGAAGGTGATAATGCTACTTCCAATTCAAAATCACTGCAGCAGTATTGTTACCCTGTCACAGTAAACTGCACAAAAACTTCATTGGCAGGTTTAAATATTTTTGGTGAAACTTTTTTAAATGGGAGGTCATGGTCCTACTGCACGTCTAGGACATTATACATAAAAAAAGGTCATCTGTAATAAGGCAAATGTACCCTGCATGCAAAATGTTTTAATGATAATTATGAAAAAACTGATAACTACACAGCCTAACCAAATTACCTGGCAAACTAAACATAAGTACCAGTGAGCGATGATTAGATAACATAACAAACGGACAAACCTTTAGACAGGTGTATAGACATGCTTTGTGTAATGTACTCACATGCTTCTCTATAAACACTAATTTCACTAATTTTCTTATTTCTGACAAAAGCAACAGTCAAGCAAAAAGTTACCTCAATTGAACAAAGCTGGCCATACACTAGAAGAACTTAATTTTAAGAACAGTCATTCCATTTTCTAATCATTAGTGTGGTCAAATTGATGTTTGTTTTCTACCATAATGACAAGAAAATTGGAAGATGCAGAATGGCAAATTTTTTTCATACAAATTTCTAACAGTATATGTAGTTTTCGTACAGAAAATTACATTCAATCCAAAATTGGATGTTAAAAACTAACAAAATATTAAAGTACTTTTGAATGACCATCGTCAAGTAATGTAGAAGTTAAATGTACTGAGACTTTTTACATGGATTTCTGTGCAAACATTAATTCGAATATCTACTAGTGTTTGCCCAGCTTAACTCTCCCTTAAAAAACAGGTCAGTAAAGGTGTTATAAGATATGAAAGTGATCATTTCAAATGTCAGACAAAAAAAGCAGGGCTAGCTTGCAGTTGTTTCATATCTGTAGGTACATTTAGCGGAAAGTTAAAAACTCGTGCTATAGTTCAGAGATATGCCGACATGAAGTAGGAAGCGATAGAGATATATAATTAAGTGTGAGGTGCTTTGAAAGTGAAAAGTTCAGTGATAAGATGAGAAACTGAATTCCAGAATACAAGTGAAGCATTGGAAAAGTTAGTGTGTTGTGAGAAATGATGAAAGGTGCAAGGTCTTGATAAAACAAAGTCTGCAAATGACTTTGAGGAATGAGGAAAGACCCATTAGCAAACCAATCAACAAGAAAATCAAATCCAAATCCAAATGATTGGTACTTCCAGTTGTAGGTAACGATCTACTGTCATTGAGGAAAGGTATGCTAAATAAATGCATTGGTCACTGATATTTAAAACAAACTAACGTATAACTATTATTATTTTTTTTCTTTTCAATTACCTTTTTATTGAAGATTTTAAGCATACATTGAGGTACAGTGCAAGGTAATAACAGAGTTCAAGTCATCTCAATGAAAAGTCACAAAATTGTGCCCCCGATAACTAAAACAATTGTAGATAACTATCAGTTACATACTAGGATGTTGCCTAAACCTACTGCATCGGTTTATGAAGTTTCAGTGGTCATTAAAGTGTTACTAAACCCAGGACCCTGCATTCACTAAATCTGGTCTCCCACAGTACACAGAACGTAGAAATGCAATTATTTTAGTAAATATAAACTGCTAAATACCTTTTCTCATCAGTAGTTAGAGCAGTCTTGTGACTTCTATTGGTGTCCAGCAGAGCACTGGTTAAAGCTTGTAGGAGGAGTTTTCATTCTGCTGTAGGAGGATGCAGGACCCTGTCCTCTGTCTGGACAGTGCTAATTGGCCCTGTGCTGATCACATGAACTCTCCCAAAAAAAAAAAAAAAAACTCTAGCAATACACACCAAACTGAGCATGCTCGGCTTGCCCCCGAGCCTCTGTTCTATCAGGAGATATGTAGGAGACACTGGAAGAAGGGGAGGATCAGAGAAGACCGGATCAAACATCCTTTTTAAACAATGTGGAGGATTAACACTTTAGGTTCCACAGTGAGTATAACAAGTATGCTTTACTGCATATACAGACTGATTTACTGTTGTGTGTTTAGTATTACTTTAAGCAGACAAAGCATACCTGTAAATAGGATAAGTAGAGAGAAAGGTTGTGTCTTTGGTTTCACTGCCTTACATAGAGAGTGGTAGAAAAGTCAATGTTTACTAAAAAGAAGGGAAAAGGGGGCTATAGAGAGTTCCGGGAGGGGGTGCTAGGAACAGTACTGGAAGGGGGATGGGACTGGGTATAGCTCTCTGGCTCAGGAACACTGGAGCCAAAGGCTACTCCATCAGGGGTTCTAGAATGTGCAAAAAGGTAATGATTGCTTCATAGTGTCCAGATTCATTTAAATTTAGAAATTTACAGCTTTAAAGTTGATTCCAATTTTTTATTAACCACATGCTGCCCAGCCACCGCATATAAACGGTGGCAGGGCGGCGCTCGTAGGCAAAAGCACGTTTTAAAACGGCTGCCTTCAAAACAGGTAGGCGCGCACGCCCGCCCTGCCTGTCAAGCGGGTGTCAGCCGCGGGTCTCCACCGCCGGGTCACAGCCGGTTTTTACAGGCCGTTTTCCCGCGATGAGCGGTAATCACTGACACAGAGCAGGGCTGCATTGTTTACACACAGCCTGCTCTGTGACAGTTCGCCGACAAGCTGCAGAGGGAGAGAAGAGCTTCTCTCCCTGGATCAGCTCCCCCCTCCCTCCCCCCGTCCAGTACACACCCCCGCCCCCTAGTAAATCACTCCCCTTACACAGCAAATTCTAAAAATGTTAACCCCTTCCTCCCCAGTGACATTAGTACAGTTTCAGTGGTTTTCACTGATCACTGTATTGGTGTCACTGGGGATGTCAGTGACCCCAAGTCAGTTCCCCCCCAGTGCCAAAATGTCCGCTGCAGTCCCGCCATAAGTCTCTGGTCATCTTTCCCGCCATTTGTAAACGCTATAACTTTCACGTAAACCAATTAATTTACATGTATTGGAGTTTTTTTTTAGCAAAGACGTCGCAGTTTGCATTTTGGCAGAAATTTATGACTAAATTTGATTTTGCATTTTTTTTTTACTGGACATGTTTTATAGCAAAAAAGTCCAAAATATTGTTTTTTTTTTCCTCAAAATTGTCAGCCTTTTTTTTTATAGCGCAAAAAATAAAAAACCGCACAGGCGATCAAATACCACCAAAAGAAAGATCAATTTGTGTGGGAAAAAAAAAGGATGTAAATTTAATTTATGTACCGTATTGCATGACCGCGCAATTGTCTGTTAAACTAGCGCAGCGCAGTATAGCAGAAAAATGGCGTAAATTGCAGTATTTATACCATAGATTGTAGACGCTATAACTTCCACACAAAGCAATCAATATACACTTATTGGGATTTTTTTTTACCAAAAACATGGAGCAGAATACATTTTGGCCAAAATTTATAACCAACTTTGAGTTTACTATATATTTTTTATAGCAGAAAGTAAAAAATATTGTTTTTCTTCAAAATTTTTGGCCTTTTTTTGTTTGTAGCGTGAAAAATAAAAAGCGCACAGGTGATCAAATTACACCAATAGAAAGCTCTATTTGTGTGAAAAAAAGACGTAAATTTCATTTAAGTGCAGCATTGCATGACCGCGCAATTATCAGTTGAATTAGTGCAGCGCCGAGTAGCAAAAAGAGGCCTGGTCATTAAGGGGGGTAAATCCTCGAGAGCTCAAGTGGTTAAAGCAGAGTTCCACCCATTTTTTTTTAAGTGCCTTTATTTACAATTGTACCTGTGTTGTAAAGCTTGATTAGGATTAACTTTTTTTTTTTTCGTATTATAAATACCTTTAAATCAAGTTTCAGGACTGCAATTCCAATCCCGGCCGTCTAGGCTATGACGTGTTTAAAGCGACTTGCAAAGTCTCCTGGGATGTCGGGTCCTGTATCTCAGGAGTCCTTTAGGTTCCTGGTGACTGACTATCGTGGTACTTCGAAACAGGAAATGACGTGAATGGGAGGAGTTTGGCACATTTTTACCGGGAGTCCTGTGTGGGGTAGAAGTGTAAGTTTTGTGCTGCGTATTGTGCTGTTCTATGTTAGTTGGATATGCAGAGTGTGTGTATAGCAGCACCAACTCCAGGAAGTAGAGACTTACGGGCTTCAGATGCCCACAGCCATCATGGTGCCTGCCTGCTTCCGAGATCCAGGTACAGTTTAACATATTTAAAAGTAATTTCAAGACTATAACTAATAACTATATCCAATTGTTATTTTTAACGGAAAGGCAATCCTAGGTCTGCTTTTAAAAAAAATTTCTTCTGGGGACTGGAGCTCTGCTTTGAGAAAAAAAAAAAATAATTTTATGTTTCACTTGAGTAATTGAGGGAGGAGACTACAGTTGTGCCCAAAAGTTTGCATACCGTGATTGAAAACATGAAATTTTGGCATTTAAGTTGAAAATATGACTGAAGGTGCCAAAAAACTCATGATCATATGAAGCCATTTATTATTACATAGTTGTTTAGCTCCTTTCTAAATCATAATGATAAACAAAAAATCACCCCAAATGCCACTGATGAAAAAAGTTTACATACCCCAGAATATTTGGCCTTGGTACAAACAAGGTAACACACACGTT